CTGGCTCATTGAAACGCAGAACTTTAACCCATTTTAATATGCAAGCGTATATCTATTTTATTGTAACACAATGAAAATTAAAGGTGGATGAAAACACCATGAATTACTTTGAAAAATCACATTTGCGGTGCTTGGAAATAAATTCTCAGCAATTTATGTTTTTGTAATCTAGGGCAGTACTAATAGCATTTCCCTGTAATCCCTACTTAACCTTTAATTCCTAGTCTACACCCGCTGCCAAAAATCAAGGGCTAACTGACTTCGTGGCTCAAATGCCTACCCAGACTTCCTGGGCTGGGCTGATTTCCACTTTTATTTTATTTTATTTTACTGTTTTATTTTATTTTATTTTAAGATTCAAGTTCCATTTCTCCTCGCTTCGAAGCATACCCTTATACCACAATTACCCAAAGGTCAGGACACAAATGGGGATGCTCAGGCCCCACCTGAGTCGGTATCCCTGAGGCCACAACCCCAGAACCTACATGTTTAATCAGCTCCAGGAGATTCTTGCGCACACCAAAACTACTCACTGCCATATCTGACACCAAACCCTCCAGAGCAAAGACCAACTTCTGTGTGTCTCCGTATCTCTAACACCCAGCTCCCTGCCTAGCCAAGAATGGGCACTTGACCCGAGAATGTACTGAACTAACAGGCCTTTAAAAAAAAAGAAAAAACGTCAAGGGCCGCATTATGTAGGAATCCATCCAGCCCAGCCTACTGTCTACTAAATGATCCGCTCGGCTTCCCTGGAGCCTCTCCTGACACGGATCTGCCTCAACTGTCAACACCCAAGACCAGAAAGGAAGAGTGTTCCAATGGTACCAAGAATTATAGTTGCTCGCAGGGGGACCACCCTCTGTCCTTCCTTCTGAGGCTGCCATATTAGCAAGTGCTGGAAGGAGGTGGCTTTGATTCTCAAGGTCAAACGTCTCCTTTGGGAAACCTTAAACCAGTGTCCTCGGGCTTCACAGCAGAATCACCTAGCAGCTTGCTCAGAAATGCATGTTCCAACGTGAGTTTTACCCTGAAGTAAGTACCTGTGGAGTGGGGTTTGGGACACTGAGCTGTCCGTGCAGCATCCTTGCCCCCAGATGATTCTGATGCTGAGGACCCCTGACCCTTAGAGAAGTTCCTCTTTAAACCTAGTCCTCAGGGCGCCTGGGTGGCTCAGTGGGTTAAAGCCTCTGCCTTCAGCTCAGGTCATGATCTCAGGGTCCTAGGATCGAGCCCCGCATCGGGCTCTCTGCTAAGTGGGGAGCCTGCTTCCCTTCCTCTCTCTCTGCCTGTCTCTCTGCCTACTTGTGATCTCTGTCAAATAAATGAATAAAATCTTTAAAAAAATTAAAAATTTAAAAAAAAAAAAACTGGTCCTCAAAGAACTCCCTCAACTCCCTCTCCCAAAAAGGGGGGAAGGCTGTGGCTCCTTAATTCAGTTGGACAGATGTGGGGGTGGGGGAGAGTTGATGGAGGATGGGCCTGGGAGCTGGCAGAGGGAAGTGTCTGCTTCCAAGAATTTGGGGACCTTCCTGCAAACTGAAGAAGGAGAAAAGGAAACTCGGATTGCCTCGGAAAATAATGCTCGGTGCTAAGTGTTCCCTAGGATCTTACCAGCTCTCCACAGCCTACCTAGACCCCACTGCCTACGTCCAGGCAGAATTCATTGATCGGTGCCGTTCCTCACTCCCCAGAGCATTTAGCCCTTTTTCTGGATTAAAGCACTTATCTGGCATTAAAGCTAATTGTTTGCTGTAGGTCTTTTCCCCAGACATCCTTTGCTCCTGAAGGCTGATTGGTGTTTTCTTATCTCTGGGCCACCCCTGCTGGCCATGAGGTACTGCTCAAGTAAAGCTTCCAGGTGGGTGGACTGCAGATAAGCCCCCCCCCCCACGCCTGCGATGTGCTTCTTTGATGGAACTGCACCAGGGAGGTGTGAGCTTTGGAGGTTGGCCTGGACCTTGTCACAGCTTTGCCTCTCTTCGACACATTTTTCCAGAACTATGTCACTGCCAACAAATCTGTGTGCAAACACTACAGAGACAAGACATTTGCCCTAAAACACGCTGCCTATTAACCTTGAAGCCTGTGTTGTTTTGCAGGTGCAGAGACAGACACACACCCATACATATATAATCTTATTATGATACATTTCACCTTGCCATGTTCCCTGTGCTGTGGCTTCCAGTCTCGCAAAAGTATTTTTACAGCAGAATTTCTGATCTTGAAAGAAGATGCTGTACGTATAGCCTTGGCATACAGCAGAGCATCTTGGGATGCTGCGTTATGCATTAAAGTGACCCAGACCCCTGCCACACTCTGACTGATCTGGGGAGTGTGTGAATTTTCCCGAAAGTTTAAAGCATCTTTTTCTGCTCCTTGGACCCAGACTTTTGGGACACCCCTCTGATCACCTCTGGTCTCTCCCCACTTTCAATCCTTCCCCACCCAGCTTCCACAGAGATTTTCTGGAAACCCCTGCTCTGATAATCCTTTCTCTTCAAGAAGTTCAACTTCCATTTTGCTTTGGCTTCCAAAGCCTTTTTCTCTCTTCCCAGAGCTCTACTCTGCAGAGCATCCCTTCTTGTTCCAGCTCTGCTACCCTGCCTTATGCTTGGAACAGGACTCTTCACCCAAGCTTGGCTTCCACCGTTCCCTCTGCCCACAATGTCGGCTTCCCACCTTGTGCTCTTGAAATCCCACGTATCTCTGGGACCCCACTACAGCTCCAGCTGCAGCTCAGTGGGTGGGGTCAAAAGCCAGCTTCTGTCTGAACATGAGCCAGACACTCAGCCATGCGGAGCCTCATTTCGCTCACCAACAAAATGAAGATTCAATCAAAGGAGGTCTAAAAAGAAGAGCAAAGAAAAGCCTCAGACAATGATTTTCAGCCCTCACCTTAATCTTCTGAACCACACTTGCATCCCTCCTCATCCAGAGCTGAGGACACACTGAATTATGAGAACTGAGGCTCACGTTTATTATCACCCCCAATAGACCGGGAGGCCTTAGAGGTCACGGGGCCCCATCTTAGACATGGCTAGCCCACCCCTGGTACATAGTGGATATGGGATGACAGGTTTAATTAACCTCCTCGCTCACAACCAGAGCCACAAATTCACAGGTCAGTTGCCTCTGGGAAGCAGTGTCAAAATAAAAGAACACAAAGGTCAGAACCAGCTAACCTTGAACCGTAGCCATGTGACATTATTTAAGACATGTTTGTATTGCCTGATCTGGAAAGTGAGGATGGTAACGGCTCTATGGAAATAACTCCACATCGTGTGGTTGCTCAGATTAAGTCACCAAGGTGGGTGAAAGTGCCATCAACATTGTCATTTGGATGTCATCAAGTTTTCAGTTTGGGTTCTTCTAGCCTCGGCAAGGACTGGCCAGTAGAACATCTGAGCTGAGCTGAGTGGGTTTCAGGGTCTTAGGAACTGTGGCTCAACCATCCCATGACCAAAGACCTGTGACTTTCACGGGGCTCTGGGCAATTTTGTTTTTGAGGACCCCTTCCTCCGTAAAATGAAACCAAATAATTATATTTTATGACTTCACTGGTATAAAGAAGGATATAACCCAGGCTGCATTCATTATTTCATATTGCTTATCATTATACTCATTTTCTTCTGCTGCTTTTAAAGATTATTCATTTATTTATTTATTTGAGAGGGAGTGAGCATGAGCAGGGCGGGAGGTGGGCAGGGGCAGAAGGAGAGGGAGAAGCAGACTCCCCGCTGAGCAGGGAGCTCGACTAGGTCTCCATCCCGGGACTCCAAGATCACCACCTGAGCCCAAGGCAGACGCTTATGAGCCATGCAGGTGCCCCTCTCCTTCTGATTTTAAAAGAATATAAATTGAGACATTTTTGTGAGACCCCAAAGTTCCTTTGGGCCCCAGGCATCGTACCTCCTGTGCCTCTGCCTGATAGAGAAGACAGCCTGGCTTTAATTCCCTGATGTCTGGTGTCTTACAAGTGTCAGCTCAAACCAGGCTTCTTCCCACTCACTCTTTCCTAACCACTTCTGGGGTCTTTGCACAGACTTGTTCTCTTCCTGGAAGCCTCTCCCCTGCCTCTTTCCCTTACTTACTTTCCCCACATACCTTGCAGTAGCTCTCTGATGATCACGCTCCCCTTACAGCCCAGACTGCTGAGGCTTACCCCCAGTTTCTGACCCAGCAGCTCTGGGGGGGGGGGGTCCCCAGAATGTACATTTTTAACAGCGCGCAGGTAATTGATGCTCACGCTCTGGTCCGAGTAGCACACCTGGTGCACAGCTGATTTCCAGGTCCGCCCCATTTCCACCTTCTCTGATAAGCCCTCTCTGACAGGCTTCACCAGCGTTTCTCCCTCATATGCTCTTCAAGGATTAAAGGTCTCTGCTTTATCTATGCAATTGTGTGATCCATCTCCCTCTCTCTCTCTCCCACTTGTCTGTAGGCGCCACCGGTCTTTTGGCTCGCTGTGGGGTCCCCATCATGCTAGCACATAGTAGGCGCTCAGTGAACTGCTGCTCAGAAAAGTTGAACCAACTTAACCTCCTAGCGACAGTGAATGCGGGTATCAGAATCCTCTCAAACCACCGGCACTGCATTTGTGCGTTTTTTCCCCTTCCCTTTTTTTACAACGATCACCCTTAGAACTCCTCATTCACTTCTCCTTCCGGGGAAGATTAAGGGGCTGAGCAGAAACCGCGTTGGGCGACCCCAAACCTCCCAGCCCTAAGCCCCACCCTCCGCTCCGCCCCACCCTCCGCTCCGCCCCACCCTCCGCTCCGCCCCACCCTCCGCTCCGCCCCACCCTCCGCTCCGCCCCACCCTCCGCCCCGCCCCTCCCACCCTCCGCCCCGCCCCTCCTTTAAGACCCTAGGCCCCGCCTCAACCCCCGCCTCCTAGGCCCCACCTTCTAGGCCCCGCCTCTCCCCCAGCCCGAGGCCGCGGCTGCTCTGCGCATGCCCGCCCAGCTGAGGGCTTCCGCGGCGTCTCCGTCCGTAAACAAACTTTGTCCTAGAAGATGTCACGACTCTGTGCATCCCCGGAGCGGCTCAGGTAAAGCCTCCCCCGCCCTTGGCGCTCCGAGCAGGGCCTGGCCCAGCCTTGACGGCGGTGCGGGGCTCTGTTCTTGCCGAGTCCACCTGCCTACCTGCAGAGCCTACGCTCGGGCGCTTAGCCTACTTGGCTGCTCGCGGGCCTGGGGCGGCCGAGCTTTGGCCCCAGGGGCTCACACCCAGCCTCATAGGTTCGCGCCCCTTCCCCGCGGGCAGAGCGTGTCCCCTGCCCAACTGCCTACCCTCTTCAGCCCAGAGCTTCTCTGGAGTTTGACCCCCAGAAACCACAAGCCTGCGCCAGGCAGCTCCGGGTTCAAGGCCCCGGTGGCCACTTGCAGAGGTGACCTTCGGTCTCTCAGTTGCTACCCTCTCTGGGCCTGGCCAGGATCGAGTCCTCGCCTCACCCGGCTGTAGTGAGGCTAGAAGGAGAAAAGCGTGGAAAGTGCGCTGGATGCGCGCGTGCTCAGAACAGGGTGGCTGCTGCTATCGTGTTTTCGTGGTGGTTATTCGAAGGACCAGCCCCAAATATGGACAGGCACGTTTTTGCAGACTTTTGCTACTGCTGGTCCCTCCGGCCAGTTCTGGGGGCCTCTTAAAAGTCACACTCAGTCGGCCCGGAGCAAACTGGGCGGGTTTTCTGGACGCAGGCCGGTGCGCATGGGATGCACCCCGGCATCCGCTCCAGTGCCAGCATGCTGTGGTTCTTTTTAGGTATTTGGTCGTTTTTTTGAAATCCGCTGCTGTCACCCAGCCACTTTAAAGGAGCAACCCGCCACGCAGACAGAGGCACAGGGTAGCAGCACCTCGCGCAAACCACTGCCCATCTAATGCCTGAGACACTGATGACAGTGGTTACCATTCGTTGGGCCCTGGCGGAGTGCCAGTCACAGTATGTTAACAGTGTCATCACATGCTCACAAATAGCTCCAAGCGTGTCACAGATGAGGAAAGCAAGGCTCCGAGAGGTTTTCCTAAGCATCTGAAAACCAGTTCTGCCTGACTTAAATTTCTGATTTTGCTCATGATGCAAGACTGCCTTTCCCCCAGAAAAATGAAAACTGAACTGTTAGTTTCTAGGGCTGCCCTAACAATGTGCCACAAATGTGATGGATTAAAACAACAGAAGTTTATTCTCCCATAGTTGTGAGGCTGGATGTCTGACCCTTCCTGCCCATTGGCAGTTTCTGATGGGTGTTGATGTTGCTGAGCTCAGGGTAACATCACTCCTGTCTCTGCCTGTTTATTCACATCGCCTTCTTCCCTGTGTGTGTGTGTGTGTGTGTGCTTTCTCTCCTTTTACAAGGACGCCAATCACTGCATTTAGAGCCCAGGATGATTTCATCTCAAGATCCATAACTACATCTGCGGAGATACTATTTCCAAATACAGTCACATTCTGAGTCTTCTGAGTGACATGAATTTGGGGGGAACTCTATTTAAACTACTACACAAACCAGCAACAAAATACACCAGTCAGAAGGACCAACACATTCACCATCATGTATTCAGGGCACCCAATGTGCTTATTATGAATCCAGATACTTGCACATTATCAGTGATGGTCTTCAAAGTGGGTTCCCCTGGTTCACAACATCACCATCACCATTGCTTGGGAGTTTGATGCTAACTTCCAGGCCCCACCCCAAACTTACTGAGCCACAGTTTTGGGGTGGGCCTAGCCCTCTGGGCAAATCTGTTGCCACTAAAGTTTGGGAACCACTGTTATAAGGCAGTTGAAGACATAAGGGTTTGATAACATAAGGGCCAGGTTAAGAAAAAGTCTTTTACCTGACAGTTGTCTCACCTTACAGTGACTTGTTTACCAAACCTGTCTTACTTGAATATACTTAAGAATTAACATTGAACTCTTGCATCGTTGAAAGAGTATTTCACCATAATTTCTACTTAAGTTTCAAAGTACCCTTGTGTACTAAACTGTCTTCTTAGTACTTTTTTGCTCATTTTATCTTGCCAACAGTCATGTGATTTGGGTGTTATCATTTCTGCTGTGCTATTAAAAAAATACAGTGAGGGTCAGAAATGGTAAGCGCCAAGACACACAGTGAAACAGAAACATAGGCAGGACTAGGAGCTTTTTATCCTAACTCTGGTTACTAAAACGTTTGGTTTGTTTCCATTTTAGAAAAAGTTTGATAGATGATGCTAAGGCCCGCTTAAAAAAGCATGATGTTGGAACCAAATATTCTCACTTGTCGTCTAACAAATATTCTGTCCTTTTGCCATTGTTGGCCAAAGAAGGAAAACTCCAACTGTTGTTCACCCTCCGGTCGGAGAAGGTAGGTGACCAAAAGGCTCCTACCATTCAAGTTCCAGGACATTTGAAAACCTCACAGAAATTATTTGCCACTTGCACACATTTTGGGGCTGTGGATTCTCAAGTGAACTTTCAAGATCGTGTTCAGGGGCCCAAGAAGCCACAGGGTAACATGGCATTTTTGGGGAGAAGTTTTAGAAAGTTAAGTAATTTAGCTAGCAAGTAATTTGAAATACTTTTAGACCAGGATTTTTTAATCTTGGTGCTACTGGCATTTGGGCTGGGTGACTCTTTGCCGAGCGAGCTATTCTGTGCATTGTGCAATGTTTAGGATCATCCGTGGGCTATAGGCACTAGGGGCCAATAATACAGACACCCACACCCCTTTGTGACAACCACAGATTTCCCCAGATGTCCCTGATGGCAGGAATGAGGGGTATAGCGCCACTGCCAACAGCCACTCTTTAAGCCTCCCGCCCCAGGTACAATGTGGAAATTCTAGAGCACAGAAATTAACAGCCTGGGCACTGAAGCTGGCTGCCCATGTTTGAATGCAGGCTCTCTCCTCACCAGTTCTGTGACTTTGTCCTAGTTACTTCTCTGTGCTACAGTCTCTTTACTTGCAGAGGTCGGACAGAACACACTGCTTGCTTTGTAGGGCTACTGTGAGGATTTCCCAGGGCAACAAATGGAAAGCGCCTGAACCACCCCAGCACTTGGCAAGGATTCTGGTCAGTTTCAGCTGCCCTCACTCTTGCCATTAGCAGACAAGGCCTAGGTTTTCAGAGAAACCATTCTACTTTTAAAGAAATGTTGGGCTGGGAATGGAGTTCCCTTGGGTACACCCCTGGATATAGTCATTCTCCTTTGCTGTTGAGGTGCTTCTGAGGAAAGGCTGGGGAACCAGTAACTTTAAAGTTATCCAAGTACAAAAATGAAAATGGGCCATAAGAGCATGGCTTTCGAAGCAGAACATCAGTAAACAGTATCCCCTGAGGGGGGAAAAGAAAGCCAAGGAATCAGCTGAAGTTTTGTGGGTTTGGGTTCTTCTGGGTCTGGGTCAGGCAACAGTCACATAAACACAGGAGGTAAGAAAATACAGGTTCCAACAAGAGATAACCTAACAGGAAACCAGGGGACCTGGGTCTGTTCTCAGCTCTGCCAAAGAGCAGAGAAGGAGGTCAGTGTTATTTTTCGAACTATCAGACAAACAATAATGTAGACAACTGAGGCAAGACCGAAATGGATCTCTGGTTACTTTTTCACCCATGCATTATGTGAGAATCATCTTAGACCATAAACTCTGGTGTGCAAAGATCACATTAGAAACAAAAAAAGAATATTTAAATCTCAACACCTATCTAAAGAAATTCCTTCCCAGGTGTTGCTGGAGCTACACCTCTCCCTGAAGTCATACAAGTAGGGTTCAGGGGTTTCCTCCCAGTAAATGGGGAAGGGGCACCTGTCCTCACTCCCTTCTGCTTCATTGTGGGCTCTCCCACCAGCTCTGGAACCTAGAGCCAAGTTAGCCCAGGTGATCGCAGGGTCCTAAGATCGAGCCCACGTCGGGCTCCACACTAAGCAGAGTGGGCTTCATATTCTCTTTCTCCCTCTGCCCCCCACCTCCTATCCCCACTCACTTTCTCTCTCCCTCTCTAAAAAATAAAAAATAAATAAAATGGTTCATTTTAGATTATGTAAATTTCACCTCAACTAAAAAAAATACTTTAAAAAAAATACCACCATGTGGCCCTGTTCTGAGGGCTCAGTGGAAAAACTTGTGAAGCAGCATGTCCAGAGCAGGGTAAGCCCTTAGTCAAGGCTGTCTACTGATAACATTGCCCTTTTTATTCTACTTCCTTTTGGCTTTATTCCCCCATCAGCGTAGATACGTTTTCGTGCATATGGCATCTTTTAGGGGCAAGGAGAGAAAAATTACAAGTGAAGGAAGTTCTCAAAAGTCATCTTTTAAAAGGATTCAAGTAAAAAATTTGGGGAGGGTCTTACTCCCCGCCTCTTATTACCACCCGGGTGGGAGTGGTGTCTGGCACAAAACTTAAGTTCAGTAACTACTTACTGAACAAGGGCATGGTGCCAGAACTGGAATCCCAAATGGAAGCTCTGTTCTTTTTGATATCCAGCTACGAAGGTCACCTGGAGAAGTTTGCTTCCCTGGAGGCAAGTCTGAACCCGCAGATATGGATGATGTGGCCACGGCGCTCCGGGAAGCCCAGGAGGAAGTAGGGCTACATCCTCATCAAGTGGAGACTGTCTGCTGCCTGGTGCCATATCTGCTTGACGTAAGTGCTAGAGTGGACCTGGGTTGCTTCCGCTCTCGTGGCCGCCCAGTGGACCCGTAATCATTAGCATTCCACGTGTGGCCAAGCAAGACAGTGCTGTCCGCGAACTCAAGAGCCTCGCTCTTATGTGGGTTTTGCCCCTTGTGAGCTAAGTGGCCTTGAGCAAGCCCCTTTGCCCGTCTGGGCCCCTCTTACCCCATCCAGAAATGAAAGGACTGAACTCCATCAGTGGTTTTCAAACTGGATTCTGTAGAACCCCGTAGATGCTTCAGAATTCTTTAAGATTCAGTTGACATTTATTTTTTGCCAATATACATTTCTTTTGAGAACTCATTTGAAAAAAATATCACACACTTGAGCATGCTGTGTTCCAAATTTTAGCCTCTTGGAGGCCACATGCCTTACTTTTGTCCTGAGTACTCATTTTTATACATATTTTGGAATCAAGCTTCTCCATATCACATTAATTGAGCAGTACCCTGAGATCACTAGGCAAGCTATCTAAGAACTATTACTATTTGTAACTACATTTTGCTATGAATCAGGATTTCCTTGATTGCATACATGAAAAACAAACCACGAAAGCAACAAAATGAATTCTGGGGCTGATATAATATCCAGATCTTATTTCACATGAGCTTATGACTTGCATTAATTAACTTTAAAAGGAGTAAATGTTGTAAATTTGTGCTTGGATAACAGCATTTTATTGGTTTAAATTTTTAATATAAACTTGCAATATTAGAATAGGTAAAGATCTACAGAAAAGTTGCAAAGATACTACGGAGAGTTCTCATATACCCAAACCATTTCTTCCTATCATTAACATCTCACGCCACTCTTGTCACAACTAAGAAACCAATGTTAGTACACTGCTATTACCTAAACTCCACATTTTATTTGCCTTTTACTAATTTTTCTAATGTCTTTCTTTCTGTCCTGGATCACATCAAGGATACCATATTGTATTTGGTTGTCATATCTCCTTAGTCTCTGGTCTGTGACAGTTTCTTAAACTTTCCTTATTCTCATGACCTTGACACTTCTGAGGTGCTCTGGTCACGTATATTATAGAATGCCTCTCCATTTGGATTTATTTGATGTTTTCCTCATGGTTAAGTTAGGGTTTTGAGTTTGGGGGAATAATACCACAGAGGGCAGTGCTCTAATCATATATTGGAAGTAGGGATAAACTGTGTTTTATACATTGGACTTTCAGGTACGTTTTCATTTCCAGAGGAGAGTCCCACTGATGCATAACAATTAGAAAACCAGTGGGTCTCACCATCCTTGATGTTCCATTTGCCTCCCAGTCTCGATGGCACAGTGTTGTCATGGTCAGTAATGCTGAGCCATCCATCTTAATAGGTCCGTTTTCAAAACAGAAAGGTCACCACTCAAGGGAGATTTAGTTTGGAAGAAATTAATGGCCTCTCAAATAAATGCTTCCTAAATGAGAGGAGAAAACATGGGATTAGGACAAGAAATGTATCAGTCACTTCCTAGGCAACTATGTTTTCTAATGGGAACCCCTCTGCTCAGCTTCTGCAAATCCCTTGGCCTATTTGGGAGGATTTATTTTAAAACTCTGTCGACAAACTGAACCCTCATGGTAGAAAGTTCCCACGGTGAGAGTAACTCCATTTCCAAAGCACCCGGGAGCTACTGAGTCCTGCCTGTGAGGGGCAGAATACAACAGTCTCCACAGGAGAATGTCTGGTCTTCAGGAGATCTCAGTGGGCCAGACACTCCTGAAGCCGGAGCTTTCTAAAATGACCTCCTCTTTTTACAATAATGCCAGTCACATTATCAAGAAGTTAGAATGAACAAAGGCTTTCAAGAACGGTATCCTGTGTTTGGAAGTGCTGGCGAGGGTGGGTTTGTTCTTCGGACCTTGCAGATCTTTTAAATGTAGTGCAAAATGTACTAAAAAATCTAGTGCAAGAAAAAATTACAAAAGTGTAATTGATTTGACTACTTAAAAGCAGAACCTAATCCAGTGGTTTTTAACCCGTGCTGATTTTGTCCCCCGGGGAACATGGCGATGTCCGCCGAGGTTTTTGGGTGTCAGATTGAGGAGGGGCTGCTAGCCGTTTGCCACCTGTGCTAGCCCTGCAGGTTAGCAGGCGATGGGCCTCCAAACCCACCCCCGGCGTCCCTTTGCCGTACGTGTACATACCGCTCTTTGCAAGGGCCTCAGGAGACTGGTCTCCTCCTCCTCTATACATGGCCAGTACGTTTCCATTCATTCTTCTTCACTTCGCTCCCTCTGAAGCTTCGATTCCTGTAAACATACCGGTGCCTTTCAGTGGTGTGTCCTTTCCTGGGAATGTTTCTAAAAGCATGTGGCCTCTTCCAGGGGCCCTGAAGTGTGCCTCATCTCTGGGGCCGCAGCAACAGCCAGTCTCCACGGGATCCCAACTGAGCAAGTGGCTGAAATTCGGTCTTTCCTTGGTCCCACAATGTCTGCCATGCATCCCGCATCCTTTTTTCCTTCCGAGACAGACACCTGTATTTTGGGAACAGTGTGTCCAGACATGCTTTTCATCCGCAGATTTCTAAAGCCTCTCCGACTTCTCCAAACTTGAACCATGCTAAATGTGCCTGACTTCCCTTCTGAAACTTTCAGTCTCAAGCCATTCTCTCCCTTTGTGGCTTTGATTTTTTTTCCCCACCAGTTACTTCCTCAGACTCTGACAGGCGAGGCCAAGGGCCAGCACTGGCCACGTGAAGTTGCTTGTCCACACCCGTGCCTCGCAGTTTGGCCCATAGAGTGAGGATGAATTTGTGCTCCCAGCTCAGCCCTCGGGAAGCCCTCCGCTGAGAGCTCTCCACAGCAGCGTGTAGGCCATGTGCGAGGCTGGTGTGTCATCTCTTTGAAATGTGGCGATGTTTGTGTCTTCAGAGCCCGTAAGCACTGTGCTCTAGAGTGTGGGCAGCAGGCTGGTGAATCCCGGTTTCTGCCAAGTACTAGCTGGCCCTGACCTTGAGCAGGTTGCACAGGTCTCTGATTTCCACTGTTAAAGCTCCTTCAGGGTCGTGCTGTCGTGCAGAAGCAGGGAGAGGGTGCTGGGTCCTAGACCAGCGCCCCAGAGGCTGTGGTCACTTCATGGTGACAGCAGCCACAAACTGCAAGCTGAACCAACACTGCGAGTTCTGTCCAGAATGTCCCTTTCATATTCTTAATTATGTTTCTGAAAACTCACACCTGCAGCTTTCCACCCTTCCCTGCTCACAGGGAGCCTGGAGGGCCTGAGAACGCGCTTGGCCAGACAGTCCTTCACCAGTGGCTGTGCTGAGGGGCATGACAGCCCAGCTCTGTGGTGTACTTTACCCCGATGCCCCGCGGGGTCCTCGCCTGCCTTCCTCCCAACCTCCTGCTTTGTCCTGAGAGCACTTCCTTAAGAAATCACTTGCATCCGAGTGTTCCCCATCTCCCAGAGACCGTTTCTGGGGAGCCCTGTGGCCCAAGAGGCTGAGCATTCACCCAGGGCCAGGTGGTGATGGCCATGGGTAGAACGCCGCTTCTGCCCTGGGGCCACTTAGGACCCTAGATTTCCCACCCAAAGGATGGCTGAAGTGTAAGCTCCCGTCTTCCACCCCTGGTCTGGACATTGACTTTCACCATTAATTCAGTTAATGGTCTGAGTGATCACTGTTCTTAAACATGCTTCAGCTGTCACTCCCTTGAGAATTTTCCACAGACCTCTTTATCCTGCTCTCCTGTCCCAGCCTCAAGGTATAGCCCTGGCTTTTCCCAGCCCCTTTCTCTCTGTATGCTTCCCCCCACTCAGAATGCCAGATTCTTCTGCCTTTCCACTTCAAGCTTATGCAGCTTTTATCTTATTATTATGCAGCTCCTACACTAAACCCCAGGCCTCCCCTAGGAGATTCCCAGCAGGTCTTTCACTTAATAACACCCTGCATTCATTTGCAAGCAATTGTGGTTATAAATAGAAATCCCCGCCCCCCCTTATAAACATCTGTTATGTAAAATAGTTCATATATAATTATAAATGCAATTTCCCATAATTGGGTGTATGCCACAGTTAATATGTCACTTTTCTATTGATAAGGTGGTACATCCTTGTCTGTACTGACAGGGAAAAGTGTCTCACGTTCATTTTGAGGGCTGCAGAGTATCCCATTATACAGATACACTTGTAATTGACCTACCCTGAATGTCCATCAGTGGAGGAGTGCTAACTTTAGACTTTGGGGCTGTTGCAAATAATGCTTCAGTCCAGGGACACCTGGGTGGCTCAGTTAAGCATGGTCATGGTCATGATCCCAGGGTCCCGTGTTGGGCTCCCTGTTTAGAGGACAGCCTGCTTCTCCCTCTCCCTCTGCTGCTCCCCATGCTTGTATGCTCACGCTCTCTCTGTCAGAGAAATAAATAAAATCTTTAAAGAAATGCTTTGGTCTTGTATCTTTTCTCACTGGTAGGAATTTATCGTACCGATAAATTTATACAAATGCAATTGCTAGGTCAAAGGGACCACATTTTTATAACATTGCCAGATTGCTCTTCCAAAAGATTATACCAATATGTTCACAAAAATACACTTTCAGAGTCATCTCACAGATACTGCCTCAGGAGGGGTGAGACTAACCCCCATTTCACAGGGGATATGACTGTTCATGTCTGGAGCAAATTCTTCCTCCTTCCCTCCCCACCTTGTATCACTGACTGCTTTGGACTGTTTTCTTAATTTGTGTATTTTGTTTTCTGCTTTTAGAGCGACACACTGATAACCCCAGTTGTCGGATTTCTAGACCACCACTTCCAGGCCCAGCCTAATCCCGATGAAGTTAAGAGTGTGTTCCTGGTGCCTCTGGACTATTTCCTGCATCCACACGTCTACCACCAGAACTATCTGACACGCTGTGGTCATCACATTCTTATTCATTGCTTTGAGTACACAAACCCTGAAGATGGTGTCACTTACCAAATCAACGGGATAACTGCAAAATTTGCCCTGTTCCTTGCCTTAATTATTTTGGGGGAAAAACCCATCTTTGAAATGGAGTTTAATCTCAATGATCTAATTTCATCCTCTGAAGAGATCTTCCTGAAACTAAAGAAGCATGCTACAAGTAAGTTATGACTTATGAGACCACCATCCGAATAACTGAGAGGAGTTTGACTGTGCTTATCTATAAGAACAATAATAATGCGAGCTGTTGGAAACTGACAGGTGCAACAATTTCTCCTGCGACATGAAGGGGAAAAACCTTGCCTTTTTCCCACTTGCCCTGTAATACCTAAGAGAGCGAAAGATTTTGCAAAAGTGGAAAAATGTATTCATGGTGTTGCATAATTTCACAACACAGTATGTTAATATTTTTTTTCTACACATGTATCTGGCACAGTAGGCACTTAATAAATATTTGTTGAATATATGACCATGTGGCATTTATTTTATTCGTGGGAGGTAATACCTTTCTGTCTGTTGTTCCACATGACTAGAAACTTCTGGCCAGCCATCAGAAGCTATCCACATTTTCCTCCCTGGCAGTAGAGTCGAAGCAAAGCTCCTAGCTCCCAAGAAGAAACGGCATTACCCAGGATTCCTTACAGTTAAATGTAAGCTCTGCAACTTAATGTGGGCCAATGGGATGTGAGTGAAAGTTGACCCTGCAGGTCATCTCCAATTGGGAGAGAGAAGCCAGCTTCCTTGGACCCTTTCGAGAAGCTTCAAGGTAGATTTACCTGCGGCCTAGCCTTGACCATACAAACGAGGACAATGCCTGGGGGGATGGTAGAACCCAAAGCGGGTGGGAGTTTGGATCTCTAAATGCCTCTTTAGAGTAAAGCAACCTGTCGCCCTATGTGCTGTTCACTCGGACCTATTACGTGAGAGAAGAATAAAATTCTGTCGTTTCTGCCACTGTTATTTGGGGTCATTTTGTTAGAGCAGAGCTATTACCCTAATATACCGTAACACTTGAAAAAGGCTCAATGGATGTTCACCCAAACTTGAAGTGTTGCCAGCAGTTAGAATTTGGGATAATGTGACCTTTCACACATGGGTTCTGTGACCTGTACACGATGCCCGTGGGTGTTGATGGGTTTAGCAGTCGTCATCCAGAGCAACTGAACTGGAGGAATTGCTATTCTCTAGAGACCCATATGCCCACTAGTCGGGAGAGATAATGTTCTCTGTCTTCAGAGGATGAAAAACACTGGTTTCAAGCACAAGCCTCAGATGAAAAGTCAGAAAGACAGACATTCTGCACTGCATCCCTGGGGACCCAGCGCTTCTTACGTGGGCCTTTCCGTACCTCGTGCCTTCAAGTCAGCGGGAATTTCTTCATTTAAATGTACTGTTAACCATCCTGCATGAGGTCAGGGAGACGAGTGCATAAAGCAACATAACCTTAAGTCCGTGACAGCAATTATCCTATCTTACCGACTGCTACAAGAGTTTCAGAAAGCTGAACCTGTTTTAGGAAGATGCTGGTCTAGTTGAAAATGTGATGGCTGCACCAAACCCATCGATCAGCCTGGCAACTGCCCACGGCTTCAGAGTTTTTCTTTCCTGAGTGCTGGCAGAGGAAAATGACCGATCGGCTGCTTTATATCCATAAACAGGGAAATGGCACAAATCTGGCTCCAACCTTGAAAGCAGATGTTGGGTAAGCGTCTCCATTAACATTCAGTAACCGGCCCTGCATGAATAGGCCTAAACTGTTTCCGAGCAATTATAGAGGCATTTGCAAATGTGTATTTACAATCTGACAGCAGTGTAATTGCCTGGTAGGTTGTTGACCCCTCTGGCAGTGCAGAAAGCCGCCTTCCTGAACTGTTTGTTTTTGTGAACTCCTCAGATCGGCCTGGTTTCTAAGAGGCGTTAGCCCAGCCCAAGTCTACAATCAGAATGATGCCCAATTCAAGGGGCTAAATATTTAGCAATGGAGGTATTGCCTCCCCTTGCTCTTTTTTTTTTTTTTCTTTTTCAGTGTATTTCCTGTATTTTAGGACATCAATGTTCAGGGTTCTAGTTAAACATCCTTTGGTTAAAAAGAACAGAAATCTAGCAAATCTGGCTCAAATGAAAGGTTACTGGCAGGGCAAAGATCTCAGGGAATCTGCAAAACCACTGAACAAATCAGCTTCAAGAAGCATAGTAGTGGGGAAGGAGCGCCCCGGCTAGTTACCTCAAAAGCAAAGAAGTTGTAAACCTTCCCTTTTGTGTCCTGCCATTACTGGGGCAAGAACCATCAGGTTCTTGACTGATACAGGCCTGCAGCTCAGTGTGTCAGTCTCCTGGTCCCCGGAGGAAGCTTCATTTAGCCTAGCTTGGGTCACCGGGCAGGTTTCCTGTAACTTGTGGGCATGGTCAAGGGTGGGGGTTGGGACCACAAACGCCCTCAACTCTGAGTCCTGAGAGTCATCAGGGTGCGGAGAGGAGCATTTCCGAAGAAAGTGGGCTAGGCGAACATTCCAAAACATTTACTGTCTCTAGTCCCTAAATTCTGTAGAGTGGGTCATCCGGACAGCTCTGCTGGGTCTCCTTCTTTGCTTCCCTGCAGCCTCAGTAAGCAGGTGTTTGAGAGCAGTGAGTGCAAGAGTCAGGATGCCCACATCTGAATCCCAGCTCCGGCATCGGCCCGTTCGGTGACCCATTAGCAAGTGACTCGTTCTCTATAGGCCTCAGTTTCCTCTTCCATCAGTGGGAGAAAGAAACATTTTGTTTTAGGCCTTTTGAAGGGATTAAAAGAGTGAGTACATATGACGCCTTTACTGAAAGCTCAACTAAGCGCTCAGAGCAATGCCTGGGAAGTAGATACCGGCTCGGTTACCGGTCAGCTAGTAATTATGGCATTATTATAACTACCAGGTTACAGTATAACAATAATCTCAAGTACTGTCATTTCTCTGGCTTGGCACATCACCATTTCCTTACGCCAGAGGTTCCCTAACTTTCTCGGTTCACAGTGAGCATCCGTGACATCTCGGTAATTTTTTCCAGGTGCATGTAGGCCAAAAGAAACCCTGACTAATTTGGTTTGTCACATTGTTACATCCAACATAATTTAGTAAGTGTTTATGTCCTACTAACTTGGTAGCCATTTGAAGATACACCATATCCTAGAAAAATACTGTGTTTATTTGAATCTTTTTTTTTAAAGATTTTATTTATTTATTTGACAGACAGAGATCACAAGTAGGCAGAGAGGCAGGCAGAGAGAGAGAGAGAGGAGGAAGCAGGTTCCCCGCTGAGCAGAGAGCCCGATGCGGGGCTCAATCCCAGGACCCTGGGATCATGACCTGAGCCGAAGGCAGAGGCTTTAACCTACTGAGCCACCCAGGTGCCCCCTGTGTTTATTTGAATCTTTTAAAATAACCACAATCGCTCACCAATGAGGTGTGTGCCACACATGTAGATTGGAGAGTCAAATACAGTATAGGGATAGGAATAAACATGGAGACACAGAGAGGTGGGACACCTGACTCAGATGTGGGACTCAGAGGAACATCTCAGAGGAGGTGGTGGCAGAGCTGAGCCCTGCTGGATAAGGAGATGCTACCCAAGCATGGGTAGCATGGTGGTGGTGATGAGAGGGACTAACACTGGTTAAGCACCTGTACTATACCTGGCCCTTTACTTTGACGACACCTTTAACCCTGACACCAGATCTCTGTGGTGAGCATTATTCTTATTCCCATTTTTAGAGAGAAAAATTGAGGACCAGAGAAGTTAAATATTTGCCCCTGGTCACACGGTACGTAAATGGAAGAGCCAATATCCCAACCCACATGTATGAATTTTTTGGAGCCTATAGTCTTTACTATTACCCACTGACTCCAAGGCGAGGCTTGCTTCGTAAGGACAGAGGCAAGAACAGAAGGTTAAGTTATGTTTCCCTTGATTCCCTGCATGGGAGGGAAATACAATACAAACTTAATAAATTGGAGGGAGAGCAGTGTTTGTTTTTGCCTTCATCATGTCCTCCAGCTTACACAGCTGACATTGCACATGGTGAAATGACTAATTAGCTAGGATTTTAATTAAAATGGAACTGACCAATTAATAAATGCAAGTGCTAGCATACTTGCTAATTTAACAACTCTGTGCTGCTCGCTTTCCAGTCTAAGGACCGAGATGGGGAAACCTTCCTTCACCCCTCGGACAAGATGATTAAACAGAACTGAAGTCTTATTCTTGTTTCCAGTTGGTTTGTCATCTGAGAATAGCACAAGGTTTCAATACAATCACTGGAGTGATCATCACTCAGTCCACCTCGACAGGGTGTACTTGGGCTGCTCATGGGGTCTGTGTGTATCCTGCACTCAGAATTCTTGACTGCCTTCCCATCACCACTCTGCCCCTCCCTGCACCTTCCCATTGTTGAAAAGCACTCAGATTTTAAGTGTCTGTTCCTGTGTGCCCGCCATTCAATCACCCATGCTACACCACAGCATGGACATAGCTTCGTGCCACCACTTTGCCTATCTGTTTAATATGTGTGTATCTTTGTGTTTATTCTGGCCATGACCCAGAAAGGGACAGATGGGCATGCCAAGAGACTGCTCAGGCTGACTTCCCCTGGACTAAATGAAGCAGGGATCGATGGCCAATCCAAAGGCAATATCTCATTTGGTGGCCAGTAATCTCTGACTTGTGTGGTCTACTTAAGTAATTGAGCCACGTCTATTAGATTTTCCAAAGAATTTGAACAGGGCCAGAACATAATACTTGCTCAGGAACCACTGTGGGCCATGTGCATAGTGATGAGTGAGCCCCAAAAGTCAGAGTTGAAAGGTTAGTTAGCCAATAATTGGTCGCAATGTGTCTTTAATCTAGGCAGTGGCCGTCCTATCAGAGTCTACCAGATACAAGTGGAAGAAGAAGAAATATTTCCTGAAGCAATTTAAAGATCCTTTTTAAAGGGTTCATATTCAAGTCCATAAATTTTTATTTTATAGGTATAGCCTTGGTTTGATATTTCCTTGACGATAACTTTCCTCATTTTTCATTTTATATTGTCAAGCCTTTATTCTGTACTTCATCATGGTTGTCAATGCATTTCTGTTTCCCTTTTTCCCCCCTCTTTTTTCCAATTCTTTCTCATGTGAAACCAAAGCTTTCTGGTTATTTTGTTCTACTTTCTTAATTCACTTGTGGTTCTTTATTAATTTGTGAATGGATTCCTCTCTGGGCTCATTTCCTCTCCTTCCACCAGCCTGGGTTTTTCTTCTAAATCTGCTATATCCCACGGAGCCTGTAAAGCATTCTGAGAAGTTGCCTGCATTTTTTTTTCTGACTATAAATCTAAATGGCCTAATATTGAACCAAATGATATACTGGAAATAGTTTTGCTAGAGCTCCTAACCTCTTATAAACATTTATCAATCTATCTTAGCCCCCTGTAGTGAATTGAATAGTGACCCCAAAAGATATGTCCAGGTCCTAATCCACAGTACCTGTGAATGTGACTTTATTTGGAAAAAGGGTCTTTGCAGATGTGATTAAGGATCTTGAGATGAGATCATCCTGGATGAAAGGGCCTTGTATCTGGGCCATTTGTAAAGGTGGGCCTTATCAGTGCATGGAAAGGGAGAATTTAAAGACACACACAGAGACACAGGGGAGGAGCCACACGAAGATGAAGCAGAGGTTGGTGGGATAAGCCACAGGCCCAGGAACACCAGGAGCCACCAGAATCAGGAAGAGACAAGGAAGGTGTCTTTTGTAGAGTCTTCAGGGG